ACTCAAACGTAAGATGAAGCAGATCAAATAGAGATGAATATCGACAGTATGTGTATACATGGGCATAATAGGAATTATAAAACTATGTGCTTGTAGTTAGTAAAAGATGGGTTGTAAATAGAATTACCCATTCAGGACCCAATCCAACCCAAATATGGATCAATCCAACTCTTTTCAGATAAAGCCCAACCCAACCTATCCAACCCATCCAATAAACCTAACCCGTCGTTCGGCAGCTCTACGCCCCCCCTCGCACTGCCTGCATCATCCACCATACCTTCGTCCCTACTCCTCCTTATGCACCAAAAAGGCACGGTTAATCCGATCCTCTCTGGGAATCACGGAGCATGCATCAGTCTTCGTTGTTGCCTTGCCGGAAGCCCGACCATTAAATCAGATTGCGAACATATTCACGACTTTATTTTCGGTATATCCATACATTTGTGAACAACAAATCTGTGTACTCGATTTCTCTTGACTCTGTTAATCACACATCATACTTTAATTTGTTATATTATTCCAATTTAATGTTTTCTGTATACATCAACTTTTTGAACATATACACATAGATTATACGATAATATATATGAAATCTCATATATACATATATCTCACACAAACCATACTATTTCTCAAACAGTCACTCTATTGTGAAGTCTAATCCTGAATCCCTGTGTTTGTCTTTGTTTTTCATGTCGCCGATACAAATTATGTGGCTTGCCCACCACCAATGCTCTTTTCGACTTTTGTTCCTTAAAAATATCTAAGACTAGATATTGGATTAACAATTTTTCAGTTAACAATATTTCAGTTAATCTCTTTTTCTGATCTTGAACGCCCTAAGGATTGTCTCTTCTCAGAGTGTCAATGTTTTCTTCTTGTCAATAGGGTTCTGTTTGCCCGTTGTTAGACTTTTCCATTTATTAAATCCCCAATTGTAATTTGAGATATACTACACGTTCCTTTTGAAAAATCTTGATATATACGTAATCATCTTTGTTCGGTAAAGATAAACTGGATGGATTAAGTGAGAGTGTGTCTTAATGAATTGCCGGTTAATAGCTACTATCTTCGATTCTAATACTCTGTATGAATTTATAATTCAATTAATACACACACATATATAGAAGATGAAGGAAATCAAATACGGAGTAGAATATGAATAACCATTGATGCTCACTCAAACGTAAGATGAAACAGATCAAATAGAGATGAATATCGACAGTATGTGTATACATGGGCATAATAGGAATTATAAAACTATGTGGCTGTAGTTAGTAAAAGATGGGTTGTAAATAGAATTACCCATTCAGGACCCAATCCAACCCAAATATGGATCTATCCAACTCTTTTCAGATAAAGCCCAACCCAAACCATCCAACCCACCCAATAAACCTAACCCGTCGTTTGGCAGCTCTACGACCCCCCTCGCACTGCCTGCATCATCCACCATACCTTCGTCCCTACTCCTCCTTATTCACCAAAAAGGCACGGTTAATCCGATCCTCTCTATAAATCACGGAGCATGCAGCAGTCTTTGTTGTTGCCTCGCCGGAAGCCCGACCATTAAATCAGATTGCGAACATATTCACGACTCTATTTTCGGTATATCCATACATTTGTGAACAACAAATCTGTGTACTCGATTTCTCTTGACTCTGTTAATCACACATCATACTTTAATTTGTTATATTATTCCAATTTAATTTTTTCTGTATACATCAGCTTTTTGAACATATACACATAGATTATACGATAGTATATATGAAATCTCATATACACATATATCTCACACAAACAATACTGTTTGTCAAGCAGTCACTCTATTGTGAAGTATAATCCTGAATCCCTGTGTTTGTCTTTGTTTTTCATTTCGCCGATACAAATTATGTGGCTTGCCCACCACCAATGCTCTTTTCGACTTTTGTTCCTTAAAAATATCTAAGACTAGATATTGGATTAACAATGTTTCAGTTAACAATTTTTCAGTTAATCTCTTCTGATCTTGAAAGCCCTACGGATGGTCTCTTCTCAGAGCGTCAATGTTTTCTTCTTGTCAATAGGGTTCTGTTTGCCCGTTGTTAGACTTTTCCGTTTATTAATTCCCCAATTGTAATTTGAGGTATACTACACGTTCCTTTTGAAAAATCTTGATATATACGTAATCATCTTTGTTCGGTAAAGATAAACTGGATGGATTAAGTGAGAGTGTGTCTTAATGAATTGCCGGTTAATAGCTACTATCTTCGATTCTAATACTTTGTATGAATTTATAATTCAATTAATACACACACATATATAGAAGATGAAGGAAATCAAATACGGAGGAGAATATGAATAACCATTGATGCTCACTCAAACGTAAGATGAAGCAGATCAAATAGAGATGAATATCGACAGTATGTGTATACATGGGCATAATAGGAATTATAAAACTATGTGGCTGTAGTTAGTAAAAGATGGGTTGTAAATAGAATTACCCATTCAGGACCCAATCCAACCCAAATATGGATCTATCCAACTCTTTTCAGATAAAGCCCAACCCAAACTATCCAACCCACCCAATAAACCTAACCCGTCGTTCGGCAGCTCTACGACCCCCCTCGCACTGCCTGCATCATCCACCATACCTTCGTCCCTACTCCTCCTTATGCACCAAAAAGGCACGGTTAATCCGATCCTCTCTGTGAATCACGAAGCATGCAGCAGTCTTCGTTGTTGCCTCGCCGGAAGCCCGAACATTAAATCAGATTGCGAACATATTCACGACTCTATTTTCGGTATATCCATACATTTGTGAACTACAAATCTGTGTACTCGATTTCTCTTGACTCTGTTAATCACACATCATACTTTTATTTGTTATATTATTCCAATTTAATTTTTTCTGTATACATCAGCTTTTTGAACATATACACATAGATTATACGATAGTATATATGAAATCTCATATACACATATATCTCACACAAACAATACTGTTTGTCAAGAAGTCACTCTATTGTGAAGTCTAATCCTGAATCCCTGTGTTTGTCTTTGTTTTTCGTGTCGCCGATACAAATTATGTGGCTTGCCCACCACCAATCCTCTTTTCGACTTTTGTTCCTTAAAAATATCTAAGACTAGATATTGGATTAACAATTTTTCAGTTAACAATTTTTCCGTTAATCTCTTCTTCTGATCTTGAAAGCCCTACAGATTGTCTCTTCTCAGAGCGTCAATGTTTTCTTCTTGTCAATGGGGTTCTGTTTGCCCGTTGTTAGGCTTTTCCGTTTATTAATCCCCAATTGTAATTTGAGATATACTACACGTTCCTTTTGCAAAATCTTGATATATACTTAATCATCTTTGTTCGGTAAAGTAAACTGGATGGATTAAATGAGAGTGTGTCTTAATGAATTGCTGGTTAATAGCTACTATCTTCAATGCTAATACTCTGTATGAATTTATAATTCAATTAATACACACACATATATAGAAGATGAAGGAAATCAGATATGGAGTAGAATATGAATAACCATTGATGCTCACTCAAACGTAAGATGAAGCAGATCAAATAGAGATGAATATCGACAGTATGTGTATACATGGGCATAATAGGAATTATAAAACTATGTGCTTGTAGTTAGTAAAAGATGGGTTGTAAATAGAATTACCCATTGAGGACCCAATCCAACCCAAATATGGATCCATCTAGGTCTTTTCAATTAAAGCCCAACCCAACCTATCCAACCCATCCAATAAACCTAACCCGTCGTTCGACAGCTCTACGCCCCCCCTCACACTGTCTGCATCATCCACCATACCTTCGTCCCTACTCCTCCTTGTGCACCAAAAAGGCACGGTTAATCCGATCCTCTCTGTGAATCACGAAGCATTCAGCAGTCTTCGTTGTTGCCTCGCCGGAAGCCCGAACATTAAATCAGATTGCGAACATATTCACGACTCTATTTTCGGTATATCCATACATTTGTGAACTACAAATCTGTGTACTCGATTTCTCTTGACTCTGTTAATCACACATCATACTTTTATTTGTTATATTATTCCAAATTAATTTTTTCTGTATACATCAGCTTTTTGAACATATACACATAGATTATACGATAGTATATATGAAATCTCATATACACATATATCTCACACAAACAATACTGTTTGTCAAGAAGTCACTCTATTGTGAAGTCTAATCCTGAATCCCTGTGTTTGTCTTTGTTTTTCATGTCGCCGATACAAATTATGTGGCTTGCCCACCACCAATCCTCTTTTCGACTTTTGTTCCTTAAAAATATCTAAGACTAGATATTGGATTAACAATTTTTCAGTTAACAATTTTTCCGTTAATCTCTTCTTCTGATCTTGAAAGCCCTACAAATTGTCTCTTCTCAGAGCGTCAATGTTTTCTTCTTGTCAATAGGGTTCTGTTTGCCCGTTGTTAGACTTTTCCGTTTATTTTCCTCAATTGTAATTTGAGATATACTACACGTTCCTTTTGCAAAATCTTGATATATACTTAATCATCTTTGTTCGGTAAAGTAAACTGGATGGATTAAATGAGAGTGTGTCTTAATGAATTGCTGAATAATAGCTACTATCTTCGATGCTAATACTCTGTATGAATTTATAATTCAATTAATACACACACATATATAGAAGATGAAGGAAATCAAATACGGAGTAGAATATGAATAACCATTGATGCTCACTCAAACGTAAGATGAAGCAGATCAAATAGTGATGAATATCGACAGTATGTGTATACATGGGTATAATAGGAATTATAAAACTACGTGGCTGTAGTTAGTAAAAGAGGAGTTGTAAATAGAATTACCTATTGAGGATCCAATCCAACCCAAATATGGATCTATTCAGCTCTTTTCAGTTAAAGCTTAACCCAACCTAGCCCCTAGCACAATAAAACTTTTCGAGAAATACACATCATCGAAATACACTTCATTCCAGTTCTTCATCCAGGTACTACATTTGCTACGATCACTTTCAATCTTGTTTACTTCAAACTTACTCTACTTGTTCTTACAAAATTCATGTCTTATTTGAACTATACGGATAGGAAATAAGTAGTATGATAATTATTTGATTTTGTCATAATGAAATTTTAGATCCGGTTGAGAAAAAATCTAAATCTAAACACCAGAGTCTACCATATCTTCAATCGGTGCTATATATCAATGATGTGTATGAGTGTATGACACAACACTCGACAATTCATTACCGTTTTATGTAAGAATTTACTTAACTACGAGTTATTTATTCTTAAAATTTGTGATTTATACTTTTTTCGTTCGTAACTGACTGATTCGGCGGTATGTTTTTTAAATGAATTTTGTTGATTAATTTTTGAAATAGGTAGAATGTACTCGCTTAAAATTTGGTTTGAGACATACGTAGTACTGCATTTTGTCATTTTAATCATTTTTAGGCTAAGTAAGATTTAATTCAGAGATGCTGTTTGACATGTGTCTGATATGATATGAAAAACAAACCATTTATTTCGATTTATAGAGCGAGAGCAAGAACTTTTTTCCCCATTATTTGTTATTTGGAACTTATTATTGGTATTTTCCCACATTCTTTGGTATTTGGAACTTATTATTAGTACATTGAGTGTCTTTTTACTGGAGAGTTTACTTTACTGTTCTTGTTTCTTCATTCAGTTTTGCTGGGAAAATTGGCAAAACTAACTGCATTATTATATCTAGATAATTAGATAAATAATAGCTCATTCTCATCAAGATTATACTGAGCATATTTGTCGATTTAAAAGTTTTCTTAACTCAACAATATCAAGATGCTACATTGCAGGAAAATGTCACCATTTCCTTGTTTTCACAGTTCACTTTTACTTGTCCCATTTGTATTTTTTGTAGAAAAAAGAGAATTTTGTAGGGGGGCATATCCCTCAAATATTTCTGAAGAGAAGATGCAAGGTCAGGAGGGGCACACTACTGATGATGATATTGGAAGCTTAACATCTATTAAAACATCTGAAGTCGATGATTGGACAAAATTTGGGGACAATGATATTATGCAACAACATTCTGTTATTCGGGCTGAGGAAGCTGAGAAGCTTCCCTTTGTGGGTGATAAGGCAAGAAAAACTGCCAATATGAATATGCATAAGTTCCTTGTTTCTGATAAGTACTTCTCCGTCATATATTTTGCTAGAAAACATATAAACCATCAAACTTGCAATGTTAGTACTTTTGTTGTATTCCCCATTTCTTCCTCTCTGCCATCTAGAATTAAAGTGCCTATTTCAATTTTTTCACTTCACAAGATGTAAGTATTACACACTGTTCTAAAAATCGGCCTAGGGGAACCGATTAATCGGCCTAGGCGCCCTAGTCGGCCCTAACAGTAGAGAACTAATCGGCCTAGCCGGCCAAAAAATCGGTCTAGTCGGCCGAAAAATCGGCCTAGCCGCCCGACTAGCTCCTAGCGAGTTTTAGAACAATGGTATTATATGGCATATTTTTTGTACTCTCGCCTTCAAAATAAAGAATCTATTTTTGTCTTTTTGTCCCCAAAAAGTGTCCTATTTGAACAAAGCAAGCTACTATTTATAATATATAATGTAATTGTTTCGTTCAAAATGTATCCCTAACAAGTTTGATGTTTAAGTTTACATAAACAAATAAACAATTTTAAAATAATTTTGGTCATTCTAATTTTCTAAGTACAAAATTATAAAGTTGTAACTTGGTGAAACAAGACTCTTCTTTCGGGACGGAGGTAGGAAGTCTCTCTGTATGCACTTGTATGAATAGTTCTGTCTGTAAAATGCCAATTGCAGGAGCATCTGGCTTCATTGGAAGCAGAATATCAATCTGGGAGTCCAATTTTATTGCAGAAAATTAAGGTTTGAGTTTGTTTTTAAAGATAATATGTATATGTAACTTATATGTTGTTCTAAGATGTCTTTGCATGGCTAGATAGGATTCTTTTAATGTCTGTAGTCTGTACAGATTCTGAGTGAACAGTATGCTTACATAAGAAGAACCCGAGGAGATGGAAACTGCTTTTTCCGAAGCTTCATGTTCTCTTATCTTGTATGTAGTAATCAAGTTCTTGATTGCACAATATATATCGTTGGCTGACATGTATGTGTTTATTATATTCTGCTCTTAAGGCTATTATAAAAAAGGATCATCATTTGATGTCATATGATGAAGGAGTATATTTTGGAAGCACAAGATGAAACTGAAGTTGAACGTGTCAAAGTCAATATAGAAGAGTGTAGAAAGACACTTCAAAGCCTGGGCTATGCAGAATTCACATTTGAAGATTTCTTTTCGGTACTCATTTATGAAGCAACAACCTCTTTGTTATGAAGAAACAGCCCGTCCATGCAATTTTGGACGCGATTTTCACTATGGGTCATCCGGAAACAGTCTCTTTGTGCTTTAGTACAAGGGTAAGACTGCGTACATCCGACCCCCCCTTACCCCACCGTAAGTGGGAGCCTTTGCGGCACTGGGGTAAATGAAAATGAAATGAAACTCATTTATCTTCTTATTTGATATGCAGCAGTCACTTATATTTCTGCACCTGTCGATCAATTTATAAACCTCACCAGCCTGATATAGTGAGCAACAAAATAAACAAATAATTTTATGTGGATTTGAATGTGTTGAAGATTCCTAAAAAGTAGTTATCAGATTCCACATAAGTACATAACACCTTCCTTTCTTAATAATTTGACCAACATGTCCACTGCTTTGTACCCATTATTATAACTGTTTTAGCATTGATTATCTTTTTATTACTGCTGAAGCTTTATGTAATTTTGCTTTTTCACATTTTTGTGATAGTTATTCCTCGAGCAACTTGATAGGGTTCTTCAAAGGAGTGAAGCTTCAATAAGGTTTGGATGTAGCCTTTTTGTAACTGTGCATTCTTTGACTCATACAGAATTTGCTTCGATTGGATTGACAAGTATCTATAATCTGTAATTATTTTTAATTAAAACAATTAATTTAGCTATTTATTTATTTATTTATTGATCTGTGCTTACTGCAGTCATGATGAACTCCTAGAGAGAACTCGTGACCCGTCAGTTTCTGATTATAGTAAGTTTCTATGCGTTGAAGGCGTACTACTGGGGGCTGAAAACATGAAATAAGTTTTCTTTTATTACAATATGCTGCTCCATGTGATTTTTCTCTGTAAAATTGAAGTTCACTTCGTGTTGTTAGTTGTGATGTTCTTCAGGTTTGTGACATCTGGTGAAATAAAGAAACGGTCAGAGTTTTTTGAGCCATTCATACTAGGGTTATCAAATACTTCAGTGGAACAGGTTGAGTTTTACTATGACTTCTATCTTTTTTTAGTAGTACATCTTTGCTTGTGGGTGTTGTGGCTGCTTTACTGATGATGAATGTGTTGGTGGGTGGGTGTAGTTCTGCAAGTCATCGGTGGAACCAATGGGAGAAGAGAGTGACCATGTGCACATTATAGCTTTATCAGATGCCTTGGGTGTTCCTATCCGTGTCGTCTATCTTGATCGCAGCAGCTCATCTTTGTCAGGTGGTGAAAACAACAGCAGCAGCAGCAGTGGGGTCACTGTAGTAAATCACCATGATTTCATCCCCACTGCCAACCTGGATGCAGACAGCGGTGATGAGTCCACTGAGAAGGCCGTCGCCCCAGAGGCTCATTCAGTTCTTCTTACCTTGCTATACCGGCCAGGTCACTATGACATTCTGTACCGTAAATGATCTCAAAGATGTGTATCCTTGCTTTGCTAGGTGGAAACAGTACTCCCACTGTCCTATGCAATACAGATGTGTTGTTACGGTGGTGGCTGAGAATGGTTTGTGTATGATTCCTGAAGGGGCTATATCAGTTCTTTTTTCCTTGTTACCTGACTGCTTGTTGCCATTGTTGGCCTATACATCCGTAACAACTAAACCTGTGTATCATCACCCTGTTGAATATTTTGCTGGTCACTATATTACTATTTTCTACACACTGTTACAGGCCTACAGCCATTACAACTTTCTCTGTTTTGAACCTAGTACGAGCAAGCCACAATCTTCCAAATTAAAGTAGATTATTCTATCTCATTTGCACTTGATTTCGATGTCTTTTTCAGGGAAATAGTAATGGTAGAGAGATTATTTCAAGGAAGAGTTCATGGAGTTGAATAAGAATCTAAAAAAATCCTAAAATTATAGCACCTCATCATTTTTCAGTTGTGGTATTTTTGAGAAGTTTTTTTGGACAATTATCAAACGTTCCCTTCACATATCTCATATGGGAAATTTACCGGGATATGACTAAAATTTAATGAGTTTCTCAATTTATGATCTAACTAGTTTTTATACCTTTGTATGACCAAAAATCCAAAAACAAATAAAAAATTCATTTATATTTAAATGTTGAAGGACGAAAATACTCTTATTTAAAATATGTGCATTTTGCACTAATTTCGTTCAATTAAAATTATTGCACTTTATATTGCTGTTAATGTACAAAATTAATGCACGTCTTTATTGCACATCCAGTAATAATCACTGCACTTCCGTAAAATTAATTCTTTTCTCATTTACTTGAGGAATTTGTTTTTGTTTTTATTTTTTGTTTTTTAGATTTAATAATTTATTATTTTACATCTCATTAAGTATATTGTGTTTCATAGTGAAATTAATTTTAGTATTTCACTTTTAATTAAATTAATTGCATTTCATGGCGACATTACTACTCTGCATTATAGCCGTATAAGTCTTAATCAATGCACTTCTTGCCATTTTTTTAACAATATCTATTGTGTTCGAATCAATGCACATCATCAATGCGTTCATTCATGGTCCATGTACAACATTATTTATTGTCATGCTCGCTATTCATATTCAACATTATAATCTCATGTTCATTATCTATATTCAACATTATTTACTATCATTTTCATTGCCCATGTTTTTTGCACCACAAACCTTAATTTTAAGAAATAGACAAAGAAGAAGTCCACAAACCTAATTTCAAAAAAATAGAAAAATAATGAGAATTGTGGTTGTTGAGGAGATCCACTACCTACTCAACAAATTAATTAAATCAAAATTCTACCTTATCCCCACCTTGAGAACGAAACACGTCGTTCTTATGTCTTATGCAAAATGACTTTGGAGCAAATTATACCCATCGTTCTTCTTGCTTCACTAGAGGCACAGAACCAACAAGAAGACAAGAGGGATTAATAGAGCGGCCTAATCAGACCTCCACATGTGTCGGTCTTCATCCATATTGTCCCCAATTGACCTACCGAATTTAGTTTGTTTTGTTCAGATGCGTGCAGAGGGCGGCGGAATCGATGACAAAGAGTTGCAGAGGGCAGCGGCGGCAAGTGGCCGTGCATCTGGGCGGCAGCAGGCGGCCGGGCGTCTAGGCGGCGGCTGTGCAGTTAGGGGTGGGCGCGGTCCGGTCCGGTCCAATATTTGGCCGAACCCGTACCCGTACCGTTACTATTCAAACGGTTCGGTTCGGTTCGGTCTTAGACCTAAACCCGTTCGGTACGGTTTCATTTTGAAACGGGACGGTACCATGCCATACCAATACCAAACAATGCCATTTTTTTCAAGTGCTTAAGAGGAAATTAAAGTTTATTCATTCTCCAAAAATCAACACAATTTATCAATTTTCATACTCATTTTATCCCAAATTGACATGCAAAGTCAATATTTTTTTTGTCAACCATGTTAAAGTTAAATTCTCTTTATTGATAATTGATTTATTTTTTAATAATTAAAATAAACATATTCAGAAACTACATTGAAATCTCTTCAAGGTTGCAAGCTCCAAATTAAATATAATTAAAAAGTGACATTCTAGTTAAGTGAATAAAATGAAAGTGTTTGACTAAGAAAAGTTATTTTTGCAAATCAATTTGGGATGAATGTGGTATTTTACATAATTAATAAATTTCAGATAAATTATAGTAATACAAATATAAATAATTAAACCATACATCGGTCTGATTCCAGGCCTCCTATGAATTAGCAAAGACGGTGAAAGTGTGAAAACAGTAGTCAAAGTAAGGGTATAAATGTAAATTTAAATCATTGAATCATACTTCGGTCCGGTTCGGTCCGGTACCGGTTCTCATTTTATGAGAACCGGTCATGGCATTGTTTAGAACCGGTACGGTTCGGTTCGGGACAAAAAAATTGAGATCCGTTTCAAACCCCATTTTTCGGTCCGGTACCATATCGGTTCGGTTCGGTACCATGTCGGTTCGGTATTTTTGCCCGCCCCTATGTGCAGTACGTTGTTCGGCTGTGTGGGGGCAAACTAAAGGCATCGATCATTGGCTAGGGTTAAGAAAGTTAGCTAGCATTTTATAATTACAATTAAGGGCATATTGGTCCATAAAAACTATTTATTTATTTATTTATTTATTTATTTATTTAGTAATAAATTAATTAATTAGAACGAATTCAGATATTACTGTGGGAAAAAAGTACTAAGGTCATAGATTGAGAAAGTGATGGAGTTTTAGTAATACCTAGGGTAATTATCTCATATCATTATCCGTTTTTTACATTTCACGGATAACTTTTGTTGCTATTTTTTCTTTCAAAATTTACCTACCGAAGATGTGCTTGAAGTTTTGCCTATCGAAGATGTGCTCATGTGCTTATAATTGAAGTTTTGCATACCGAAGATGTGCTTATAATTGAAGTTTTGTCTCCATGAAAAATGCTCTTTGATCACATAGAGAAGGCACAAGATATGGGGTTGTCTTTGTCCCACACTCCCATCCGAAGGACAAGTTTTGTTCTTTCACACTTATAGATCAATGCTCCAATAATGCTGTCGAACATCAAGCACTAATGCTCGGGATTGAAATAGTTGTAGACTTGTAGACATGAAAAAAGCAAAGGTTAATGTCTATGTGATTCAAAACTAATCATCAATTAAGTGCTTAACATTTGTAAGCGATGAAGCTTAAACTACATTCTCAAACAACAACTGTTATTCATTTACCATTCATGCCTGACCTCACTGGAGCTGATACACCTCCTCCATATGATCATGAAGATCCTGAGGATTAAGGCACAATAGCAACACAATCAACTTCACCAACACAAGCAACACAATCAGCACAAGCAACATAATCAACAACAAAACCAACAACAACACTAGTGCACTCCACTCCTCAAGAAACTACATCTGCTATCTTTGAGGACCCGAATCACCCCATCATAACTCCAATCCCTCTTACACATGAGCGGAAATGGATGAAGGCACATCCTGCAGAGCAAATAATTGGGGATCCGAGTCGTGGAGTTTGCACCAGAACTGCAACAGCAAATGCATGTCTCTACTCCTGCTTCATTAGCCAATCTGAACCCTCAAAGGTCACTGATGTATTGGCAGATCCTGATTGGGTAATTGCAATGCGGGAGGAGATAAATCAGTTTGAAAGAATGAATGTGTGGATTCTAGTTCCTAGACCTCTGAAGAAAACCATTATAGGCACCAAATGGGTATTAAGAACAAGAAAGATGAAGGCGATGTGATTATAAGGAACAAAACACGCCTGGTTGCAAAAGGTTACAATCAACAAGAAGGAATCGACTACGATGAAACCTTTGCACCAATGGCGAGGATTGAAGCAGTCAGGTTGTTCCTCGCCTACGCTGCTCATAAAAGCTTCACCGTGTACCAAATGGATGTGAAGATTCCGTTCCTGAATGGAGATTTGAAAGAAGAAGTCTACGTTGCACAACCTGATGGCTTTGTTGATCCTGAACGCCCCAATCATGTGTATAAACTGAAGAAAGCCTTGTATGGTCTGAAACAGGCAGCGAGAGCCTGAAACAGGCACCGAAAGCCTTGTGGAATCAGGCTACTCGAAAGGAAAGATAGATCCAACTCTCTTCATCAAACGAGACAAAGGTGACATCATGCTGATACAGATCTATGTTGACGACATTATCTTTGCTTCGTCAAATCCAAACTTCTGCCAAGAGTTCAACAATCTCATGGGCACCGATTTCGAAATGAGCATGATGGGAGAGTTGAACTTCTTTCTAGGGCTTCAGATCTAACAAATGCTAGACGGAATATTCATCAACCAGTCCAATTACATGCATGACATGCTCAAATGCTTCAAAATGGACAGCAAGTCAATGATGAAAACCCCCATGTCTCCCTCACAAAAGCTCGACTCTGACCCCTCTGGGAAATCAGTCGATGCTACCAATTATCGGGATATCATCGGTTCCTTGTTGTACCTGACATCTAGCAGATCGGATATTGTCTTCGCAACCTGCCTGTGCGTTCGCTTTCAAACAAATCCAAAGGAATCACATCTGGATGGAGTGAAAAGGATACTGAGATATCTGAAAGTAACAATCAATCTGGGCCTTTGGTATCCCAAGGAAACAAGTTTTGACCTAGTGGGATACTCATATACTGATTTTGCAGGTTGCAGACTGGACATGAAAAGTACATACGACGATGCTCAATTCTTAGGAGAAAAACTGCTATGCTCGTCCTCCAAGAAACAGAATTGTGTGTCGACATCTACAACTGAAGCACAATACGTTGTGGCTGCTAGTTGTTGTTCACAAATCATATGGATGAGGACCCAACTCAAAGACTATGGCTTCACGTTCAATCACATTACGATCTACAGTGACTCACAAAGTGCAATTGCCATAACCAGCAACCCCGTTCATCACTCACGCACCAAACACATTGATCTGCGTTATCACTTCATCAAAGACCATGTGGAGAAAGGAGATATTTGTCACGCCCCGGACCGCATCCGTGCCACGTAGACAACCGCCGTACAACCCAATAAGAACAACGTAGTTCATTCTCATTAAATCATACAAGGCGTCCGTTAAGTTCTGTTGCCAAACCGATTAGTAAACTCATACAATCAACATCAATATATATTAGTCAAACAAATGCGGAAAATAAGAGATGTTTGATACTTAGCCACACGTGGCAAATACAGGCACGCAGGCCCCCAAATGTTTTGATAGAAAACATTGTTAAAAATATCCATGAGCAGTTTATCAGTTTTGAAGGAGAATGGAAGCACGAACCACGTCTTCCTCCTT